TATCTATCTATCTATCTATCTATCTATCTATCTATCTATCTATCTATCAATATATCTATCTCAGTTAATTAAAGTTATGATCAATATGCCACCAATAGCTTATCTGAAACATTGTCACTGCATTTTGAGGTGATTTTTCTTTCTTTCTTTCTTTCTTTCTTTCTTTCTTTCTTATACCTTACATTTAACATGATGTGTATGATTTATGCAACTAGAAAAAGTGAGGTCTAACGCACAAGTGCGTATTGAGCCACTCTGATCGGTACACAGCATATGAACGAGCTGAGATGAAACGCTCGAGCTTCCCTCATCTCATCTAAGGTGAACGAATGCGGTAGAAACGCATCGAGTCGAGCACACAATGAACGGTCAGATGAGAATATCGTGAGGTGTGTATACATGCGTGAGAGCAGCATCTGAGCCCCTGATAGCCTAATTGATATGTAGGAATGGTGAGCTCAGTGGTTTGCGCAGTGAGTGAAGTTTGGCTCTGGAATTCGTCACCGAGAGGCAATCCCTCACAGAAATGATTCAGAGCACCGAAAAAGCAGAAGAATCACGCCGCGACAGCTAAAAGCTCCACAAAACCGAGCCGAGGTCACACATTAACCATCCACATCCTGCGAGTTTATGGATATTTTGTCTATTATAACTTTTAGGGTTATGTGAAGGCTAAGTGACGGTTGGCGTGTTGACATTTAAATACGCTTGTGTTTAAAACCGATGAACGACTCACAAGATCTGAAGACCGTTGCACTGAAAGCTGATTTCTTCTTAGGGGGAGCCTTGCTCTGAAAGAGGGTGTAATTCTCATTTTCACCTTAAGGATGTGTAACTGACGGCATCCCTCAGATCCAGAGAGGCTGTGGGGAAAGAGGACTGTCCTGTGGTGCTGCTTGCAGATTCACTCCTTGAATTTGTTTCTTGCGGATTCCGCTACCAACGAGCGAGTCTCGCGCTTCTGTTTATCGAGGAAGAGTCATGGATCATTCATAAACATGCAAACCACTGGATTAATTTGATTCACATGGTTCTGTGGTTGAACTTAAAGGACTCGTCGGTGGGAATAATTATCCATATTTCCAACCTGGCTGCTGGTGAGAGGAGGACTGTTGCAATGTCATCCCGTTCAACATCTTTGGAGCTTTGTGGAAGAGGGATGCTGTGAGTAGCTATTATTGTTTTTGCTCTCTCTCTCTCTCCCTCTTTGTTAAAATTCGCTCGGTCCATTACGATTAGGTCTCTTAAAGGACACTGAAGAATAGACATAAACGTTTACAAATTCAGTCCAACCATTCAGTTACAACGAAATTAAGTTGATGCAGGAAAACGCGGCGTTTCCTTGCATCATTAGGGATGCGCGGTCCTAAAACAGAGGCATAAAAGGAAGAAAACGGGATTTGATACTTTATGATGTTAGGATGCAGGGCTTTTAAACAGTAAGTTGTGTTTTTATCGAGTTATGTGCAACAGCACGCTCTTGTTTTACCTGTAAGAAAACTCGTGTCATGATCATGTGGGCACCAAATCTCAAGCTTTTCCCTCAGGAGTGCGCTTCGCTTTTGCTGGATAAAACGAGGGAGTTTATTACTGAGCGAGGGGGAAAAAAAAGCAGAAAGAGCAGAAAAATATAAACGTGTAATTTGAAAAGGTTGTACATGATAGAGGACTTGTCTGTGCTTGCCTTGATGTGTAAGTTAACAGATGAATGCGGATTTTGGTCGAGGTGTTGATCCAACTTCAAATATCAGGCTATAGCCTAGGCTACTTTTCTTGTTAAAACATAAGGCCGAGTTGATTTTTCATTAAACAGCTGGATTGTAGGCTAAATGTTGCTTCTTTTCTGTCGTAATGGACGTGATTGACCTCCTGAGTTGGTTCTGTTGTAAAGTTCTTGATGCGTATATTTTTTCTTTGAATATTATAGTGTTCTACAGCGTACTGAGGTTCCAGCTGAGAACGCAAAACGAGACGCGTCGATAGGGGGCGCACTTGCATAATGGTCGTTTTGAGGAAATTAATGAGGTATCAGAAGGAATATTCATCTAGATATAGTTCCCATGTAAAGATCTCTTGTCACGTTGTAAGAACACTGATATCGCAAAATAACAAAGGCCAGTTTTATTCACGCAAACAGCAAAATCTTCATAAATTATACCCCCCCCCTTCTCTAATTAATTACATTAAAATAAAACATCATATAATTGTAACATGGAATTGTCAAAAGACCTGGCCTCCAGCCAAAGTGCATGCAATCTCAGCTCCACATTCATTAATGTTTGTCACATGGTTCATAATTAATTTGATGATTATTTAATTTTCAGTACGTTCAGAGCGTGAACGTTGCACATTTTTGCAACCACTCAAATGATGACATGGTATCTGTGTTGGACAAAATGTCATGTAACATCTTAAAGTACTGATTTAAAGACATAAAACAAGCACACTCTACCGTATTTAAACATCTGTATATATTTAACGATTATTAAATCACTGTAAAGCTAAATATAATCATCAAATCTAAATGCATGTCTGCAGAAATGCATCAAACTTTGAGTCTTAGTCTCTAGAGACAAGCCTAGATCCAATCACACAAAGCATGATATTTTCACCAATCTCTGCTCAACTGCATTGAAACAAATCAACCGTTCATGTTTGCTTGCTCTACTGAATTCTTATCAGCCGAAACTGTGCTAAATCTAGCTTGCTCATTCATTTGTCTTTAATAATGGTGATATGATGCATTATTCTTCATGAGAATCGCAGGCTCCAACAGCCCCTGCACCATATGTTGTTTCTCTGCAGTTTTATGCCTTGCTTTACAATGCATCTGTTTGCGTATACATGCTGGCCACAGTAGCAGAGGGCCTGTGAGCTTCCTCCGCTCAGTCAGTCCAAGACTCTTCATGTGACGATGTCAGCTCCACTCTCTCCTGCCCTGCTTGCTGCTCAGATCTAGTGTCACATGTAATATTCATCATTTGCTCATTGCTAGCTATTCATTGCCTAAATTCCAAAATGAGATTATAAAATCCTGCGCTTCTCGCCGTTGTTGTGTAACTCCACTGGATCGTATGTAAAATGTATTTGCTTTTGAATGAGTATTTCAGGTAATGTAATTCTGAGCTAAAATAACTATTAAGCAATTTTGCATAAGATTTAGCTATCTGAAGTCATATTGAGTTTCCTCTTTGAGCAGAAACTCCTTGAAGTATATTACATGGTGTATTTTGTAAACCTCTAAATGCATTATATCACAAACAGCCTGTATTATGTGTGTGCTTCTGATCTGCAGGGAATGAAGTCGAGCACTATGGGGTTTTCCAGGTTGGTTCTTCTGACTCTTCCAGCTCTCCTTACCCTCATCAATGTCTCACATGCGGCAGAGAAAGTGCCCATACTGAACATTGCCGTGATCCTGGGTCAAACACGCTACATCTCCGATAGAGATATACGGGCTCTGTGGAGCAAAGATGATCCCATTGACGTCAATGTGGTGACCCTGCTGGTGAATGAAACAGACCCCAAAAGCATCATTACCCATGTGTGCGATCTCATGTCCGGGACTAAAATCCATGGGGTGGTGTTTGGGGACGGCACGGACCAGGAAGCCATCGCCCAGATTTTGGATTTTATTTCCTCTCAGACTTTGATACCCATTCTGGGGATCCATGGCGGCTCGTCCATGATCATGGCGGATAAGGTCAGTCGGTAAATAGCATCAGCTCACCTAGAGCAGGGTACATTATTGAATACCAAATCTGGAGCGGAAGATGAGCTTGAAATATTATTGAGATCACAAAATGAGTTCAGTGGGTAAAAATGTGCACTCTTAATGTGGTTTGGTAATGACAATAATGTAAAATAATATCATTGGTGCAACATGCAATCGTGCTGTTCCCCTGACAAATTACCATATGGAGTTATTTCACGACATATGCTTCATAAAAAAAGCTGGAGTAATCACTTTACTGAACCCAATAACAAATATCTCTTTATATTGAGCCATCATCATTTCAATCACATCTGTCATTATGAAACATTTACTTCATATGAACAGCAAAAAGGGTGAACCCCCCCCAAATCAGACCTGAGATCAGTTTATGGTACAATTTAAGATGGTAAACTTAGAGAGGTGATAATTTGCCACTCTGTTGACTTCGTTCCATTTTCATTACCGACCACTAACCGCGCATCTGAATCCCCACTCGCTATAAAATCTTGTTGCAGACTTGCATTGAGTTTATATAATAATCCTGTTTCTCATGAGCGCTCGCTGCTGCATTTAAATATGTTTACTTGCTTTTCATCTCAGGATGTCGCTGTATCAAATGAAGCAACGTTTTGAAAGCTTATTCTCAGGAGATTTTCTTCAGCGGTACATTAAGTCATTCTAAAGCACTCTGTGTTGATCCTTAAGGAGATAAATGTCTGCACTGCTTTAATTCACAGGGACCTTTGCATCTTCTTTTGTTGAATAATACATCACGTGCATACATTTTAAACTGTATACTAGCATGTGAGTATGTACTACCAGTACATCTACGACATTGTAGCATTATGAAATCCCTATAATCCCTCTTTAAATATGCCTTAATTATAATTTGTGTGCATTTTAAATAGGGGTGCTCCGATTGATTGGCTACCGATCACTATCGGCCGATAATCGCTTTGGGATGATTGATCGGCCGTCTCTAAAACGGCCAATCTCAAAAAAACGATCTCAAGCTGACTCGCTGACTCTTTCTCTTTCAAAATGCAAATGGCTTCAAATCACATCGCGTCTGCACTATAAGTGAGCTGCATGCTGCACAGTTGACACAGGAATTGTCACTTGCACTATCGAGGCAGTGTCGCATCATCACTAAAGTTTATAAATTGCATTTTTTTCTTTTTAATTCTTGCCAGTGTTTAAACCATTCAACGCTCGCACGCTTTCCTGGAGACCGTGCGCTCATGCACACTCGCAGCGCACACACATAACGCCAGGTTCATATTACTTTGTTTGCAGTGCATATGTGGTGTGTATTTTTTCCACGCTCATGTTAACGGATTAAAGTGTTCACACTGCACATGGTTGCGGTCTGGCAGTGCGTTTAGGAGCAGTGCGTCTGCAGCAGTGCAGAGATCGTTTCTGCACCGAGTCTATTTTTGCTGCGCTGCAAGCACTGAATTAAAGTAACAGCGCATTGTTTGCAGTAAATATGAACATGCATTGACACAAAAATGTAGTAATTACACCATAAATGCATATAATTAAAGTCTACTGTGTTTCACAGTCAACACATAGGCTATTGCTTTTTGGCTAGGTTTAAAGGAAAAGAGCGCTTTTAGATAAACAAGGCAATCATTTTAAAGTTCTTAAAGTTCTTAATTAAAGTTCTTTATGAACTGCAGGATTGCTTGTAATAAAGATTTAAATGCAAAGGCAGTAGAGCTGACTGTTTCTGTCAATGGTAAGTTTTAATTTAGAATGTTTGTGATAACATAAGAAAAGTAGTTTAAATGTTTTGCTTTAGCAACTTAATATATAAATCTACAAGTAAATGCAAAAGTAAAAAGCAGTGAATAATTAATTAAATATTGTATTTCTGTACTGTGTAAAAAAAGAATCACAATGTTGAAAAAGCATTTTAAGTAACAATGTTTGGATTTAAAATCAAAATAATGGATAAATGTTGTGTTTGTTGTAAACAGCCACAGATCAGTTAAAGCACAGTCTGTGCTGCTTCTGTACCACACATGGACTACATACGCACTGCAAACGGAGTATGTGTGAACCTCACATACAGCTCACAAAATCAGGCTTGCTATTGGTAAGCTATTGTGCAACAATTACACTATTGTAAAAACAAAAATACAGTGCATGATAAAACATTTAGGTGAGATAAATATATATTGTCGAAAAATGTCCAAAAAATTGCCCCCTCCACCCCTCAAATGAAAAAAAAAAATCCTCTCATAAGAGTCACCTAAGAGAGGAATTCATTCTCAAAAATTAAATTCAGGCCCTGAATAAATGTCTAAAAACTTGATTGGATCATCACTATAAATAATTATACATGATAAAAAGAAGGCTTTAAAAAGATCGGTATCGGTGATCGTATCGGCAGATACTGCTTTCTGTGATCGGCGATCGGCCTCAAAAATCCTGATCGGAGCACCCCTAATTTTAAATGCCCTAAATGTTGTATTTTTACGTCGTCATGCGATTTGATTCTTGCCTTTATTGGTTAAGAGAGACAAGGTGAAATTAATGGTAGCTCATGGCTTTTTCATTCTTCAGGAGACAGGAAAGCATACATGTGGTAATTAATGTTGGGCCGCTGGGCAGGTCTTACTTCATTTAGTGCCCATGTAGCAGGATTTGAGTCCAATAAACACAGGGATCATTGGCATGTGTCAGGGGATCCTTTGTTTTATATCTAAAGTGCTGCCTCCCACTGAATGCGGCCAATGCGCAGGCACGCTCACGGCTACTTACGGCCAAAGATCAATTGTCTGTCTTATTGATGTTTTTAGGTTGCTTTTCCATATATCTTCAGCCTGAAGCAATTGATTTAAGACACATGATTGTAATTTAATATACGCAGGTGCCAAGAGAGGCAACATATGGATTTGGCCAACAATGGAGATGGCCATTTAGGCAATTTAGTTCTTTCTCTCCTCCATCACTGACAGGGAAATGCAGTGATCTGTCTTTCCAGTGTGGATATATAAATTCTGAAGTGCTTATCCATTTATATACCCCTAATAGATTCAGTATATGCACACTGTGGTTCAGACTAAGGTCTTTGCTATCTTTGACACTGGTATAAAAATCTTTTCAGATGATTCAACACATTTTCAGAGGTAGTCGAAAATGAATGTGACCACATTGCCTTTGTAAACACAAATCTGACCTGATGCGTCCTCACCTGTCAGTCAACCATTGCACTAAAACAAGGGTTTTAAACTCTGCTAATTACATGTGGCTTTTAAATAACTACTTTAATATGCCTGATATCAACCATGCCATGAACAGCCTTTGGACATTTCCATTCCACAAAAGGTTTTTATAGATGAAAAAGGTTCTTTAGATTTTTAATTGTTCTTCACACTAAGAAAAAATGGTTCTTTTAGGAACTGTACACTGAAAAGTTCTTTGGAGACCCAGAATGGTTTAAGAGTGAATAATGTTTTGCCATGAATGGTCTGACACAAACATGTTGGTGAATTGTTTTGTTCTGAGCAGATATTATTATTCTTATTGTGACCTCATTTAAGGCATGTAGAGCACTTACGATTTTTATGGACTTGGTGTTTAGGGAGACTGCAGATCATTATGTTCTCTTTTGGATGAGATACAACCCCCAATAGCCTTCAAGTGCTGTCAGTTTGGAGGAGGGACTCGTCACCCCAGAGAAGCGTGTAATGCACGCAAGAGCACACGGTGGTGCAGGGATGGACTGAAAAATCAGCCCGGGACCTATAATTTCAGGTGATAACAGTCATTCTGAAATATTATTAGGTATTTTAGTTTTACTTCTGTCCCATTTCTCACTGCCTAGAGAAGAGTGGTTTAGACTCTTTGGTATAATTCTCTAGACAACCTACTATTTGCAAGCTGACGCAAAGTATAGAGTTGGTAAACTTTTTAACACTGGTGGACTCTGGTTTTGTAGTAAATGTTTGCATAGGCTTAGTAACATTGTGGCCCTGTGTTTTATATACACTACCATTCAAAATGCTCACCAAGGCTGTGTTTGTTTGGTCAAAAATACAGTTAAACAGTTGAAGGCAAAGCTGAATTTTCAGCATCATTACTCCAGTTTTCAGTGTCACCATGATCCATCAAAAATCATTCTAATATGCTGATTTGCTGCAATACTAAGAAATGTTTCTTGAACATTCATAGTGTAGTTATGGTATCTACCAGCAGGGGCCAACTGGGCCATACTAATCAGCCTTTTGATGTTTACCAAGAAACGTTTAAACAAACCTAACTGTAACAATTTGCTACAATCCTTATAATACACTCTTAAAAATGCTGGGTTGTTTCAACCCAATGTTGGGTCAAATATGGACTAACCCAACTGTTGGGTTCAATTTTGGTTACATTTTTAAATGAACTTTTTAACCCAACAGTTGGGTTAGTCCATATTTGACCCAACATTGGGTTGAAACAACCCAGCATTTTTTAGAGTGTAGTTTTGAGTTCTGAATTGTGTCCCGTGAATCATATCCATTGAGTGCTTTATGTTGTTTGTATAAAAAATCATTAACGAACACATGCTGTGAAAAAGCGCAGCGCTTATGTTTACTGTTCACTAATAAGAGAGCATTTATGAACATACGAATTATGAAATGTAATTAACTTACTGCCATCTTACAACTAATAACCTGCTGTTGCTGTAGATGAGGGAACCACCAAAGGGTGGAGATTTTCAATTAAATTATTGATTAACAACAATGAGGCCATTGTGATGTCACAGCTTTTTTCAAGACCGCCATATTTCTTTTCCACTTCTACTAGTGGGAACAAAGTGGTATCATTCAACCTAGATTGATGCTTTTGTGTATCCACATTGTGTTCATTACTGTTCTCTCTATTTGTGATTTCAGCTAGTGCAAATGTAGCCTCACAATATGCAGGTGTGTCCAACAAAATGCCCCAGTTGTATTTATCTGAAACGATTCTGAGCCACCCTCCTGAACAAAATA